TTCATTATCACTGACAACAGGACCCTGAGTTCACCAATTCAGTACACAGTATGAATCACAATACTGTAAAGCAGTCACAGATGAAATTTGAGTAAGGAAGGAGGTCAAACAGGGTTAGTAGAAGTCAAAGATGATAGGTAGGGGAAATTGGCTATGGCTGTCCCACAGTCTGAATTTTGATTTTAAACTGTCAACCCACTGACATACCATATTTCGCTATTCTAAAAATAGACCCAGAATCCCCACACAGAGTAGAGTAAGGAACACACTTACTTCAGGGTCAACTCTGAAGAAGATGAGTGAAACTTGGGCTATGTCTCTGTGATCAACTCTATCTCGCCAGTTTCATCTCTTGTTGATTCCTTGTGTTCCTACGTACCAAATCTCCTGTAACTTGGTGATCCAGCAGATTACCCTGAGGCGCTTCACCCACAACTGACAGATTCACTGAATTTGGACTCCCAGATGCTGACAACTAACAACCTCAGTGCAGCGCCACATCACCTTGTACTGCGCTGCTTGGAAATTGGGGATCCTGACCCAATTCCAAAATCGCAACCTCTTGGGATCACTATTTTGCCAATCGCCAGTCTATAGATGAATCGCCAGGCTAAAATTAGCCTCTTAGAGCCTCCCAGGCCTCTGAGCATCAATCACCAACCACTCCTGCACAGCCCTAGACAGGAGTGTGTCACTCTCTGCCCAATTCCTCTCGCCACACACTCACTACCACCACCCTTACTGACAACAACCTTGATGATGAATCACCATGAGACTCAACTCCAGTATCTCGCCAGATGATGATGATTGCTCCAACTCATCAATCGCTCCAGAGCCTGGATCCAATCGCTCCGATACCAACTGTTATGATTCTGGTTGTCTGTTGTCTGAAGACCAACACTCACTCACATAGACTCCCTTGTATGCCCATACATACACAGAAGGAAGGGGAGAGGATAAGAGTATCACACCGCACAGGGAGAGATAAACACAGCGGAAGACTTGACCATACAATATGACAGGGTACACTGAAAGTGCAATTCACTCCACACAATCCTCACAACCAGTCATAAAGGAAAGCCGAGTAGATCACATCCAAGAAACAATGAAGCAATGATAGTCTGAACCCAGTATCAACACTGTATATTATACTCAGAGTCTCGAATTGTCAGAATAACTTCAGAACTATGCGCTGCTCAGAAATGAGCAGCGCTTCACTCCCCAACCCTGATGTACCGCTATTATCACCCCTGAGTCCCTGAAACATCAAGCGCCACCCGTATACAGCCTCCAAAGGGAAGCGCCACCCTGAAACAGGCCTCTGAGGCCAAGCGCCACTCAGAGGATGACGAAGAAGACCAGTGCCACAGTATCCGATGATTACGAAGTGTTGGAAGACTTCCCGGGTGGAAGTCTGCAGCAGCACCGCCACTCCTGACAAGATGACCTATGAGGAAGAAGCTGCAGCTATGGCTGCAGCGCCACTACCCTGGAACCCCACTCCGGAGGAGGGTCCACCAGGGAACCAACTTCCCTCGCCTCCAGCAGACCTCAATAACCCAGACCTCTGTACAGCCCCGTGTGCTGACAGAGTACAGCGCAGGTCCCAGCTATGGCCAGCGCTCTGAAGGTCTGGCTATGTCGGTCTCCTTCCACGCTGAGCCGTCACCACCTCCGGTTCACACGTTGCGCAGCAGCGATGTACTCGGTACCAATTGCCAAAAGCCCTGAACCGATGTGCCCCTCCTATCTATAGTCTAAACTAGCCTAGATTCGACCTAGACCGGACTGACTAACCAACCGGTACCGTTTTCTGTTTCGGCCTCTAGGGCCTCTCCCTACCTGGCTATAGGCTATAGGACCGTCTATTAGCTTAGGCCCTTAGGGCCTGTCTGTCCTAGGGGTAGCCCGGGCCTGCTATTCACAGTTAGGATAGCTGCAGGAATTCCAGTTAGTATGGGCCTATATTTTCACAAATTTGCTGATATGTCCCTATCGGATTTCCGTACAGGCAGGTCTCTCGGTTAGCCCTCAGCCAAACAAAGTTACGAATCTGACCTACAAATGGTACAGCCTCGACAAGAGAGAGGCTACAGGCGACCAGAAACCAGCAAGTCATTGCAAAGAGATGGCGGGAAGACCAATGGGCAAGAAGGTCAACAGAAGCAAGGGGTTTAACCTGTTCAGGGTGCACCCATCTTTGTCCCTCCATCCGAGGGCACTCCTACATCCAACCATCATGCGTGCAGGTATGGCATGCAGGACCAGGAAAATGGAAGAAGAAGACAATGATAGAGTCAAAAATTTTGAACGGCACGCACCCACATGAACCGTTAAGCTCTTTTTGAATCTGTGTGAAGAAAACGGACCCAGAATTTATTCCTATCCCCTTTTTGAAAAGGCAAAAGAATTGCCGTTTCGCCAAACATGACAGGCAAAAAGAGAATTTCGTTAAGTTCATGGGAATCTCAAAAACTGGCCTCAGCTTTCAAGGGTACTGGAACTCGCACCACACGCTAAGGTGCACATCACATGGACAGGACACATCCCAGGACATTTCTGACTTGGAACATCACTTGGGCAACTTGCAAATTGTTGGCCAGCGTCGGTCTAGCCTGTTCATCGCCATAATCAACATCTCTGTGATTCCCTTTCCTCTAATTTCGTTGAGGACCTCCCTAATCTCTGTGGCCTGGCTGCTACTAATGCCTGCCTCTGTGTCTTCCACCTTCCTTTTCATAGGGCATCTGACTTTCTTGCGACTAGCTTCCCTGCGTAGAGGCAGAAGGTTGTAACCATATCAGGCAAGGAGACTGAAACCACCAGTACTTTTGACTCTTCCATCACTGTGCCTGGAAGCGCCCTGTGCGGCAAAAAAAAAGGAACCGACGCGGGCCTTCTTTTGGCTGGCGGTGCCATCCATTTTGCTCAGGTAGGCCGACCCCTAGAACTTGCGGCACGAGCACGGCCCGTTCGGAGAAAATGACTGGGAAACGTACTGGTGGTTTAAGAATGGAGGCCCTCTTGGTTGCGATTAGGGACTGCCAACTTGAGCTACGTAATGCTCTGCCTCATGGGTGCTCTCCCCCCGTCTCACGTCTCCGCCTGCATTATATACATGGATCTGGGCATTGCATACCCATTTCCGTCGCAATGATATGATGTTTTCTTGCCTCAGCAAACTGTTCGCACACTCTTCTATGTTGAGGGATCACTTGTCTGCCCGTCTATTGAAGCAGGGCAACATGTCAACACTCTGTGACCTTCTCCTCTGCACGGGTACACATGAGCTTATGCTTGGCCACAGGTGTTGCTGTCTCCACCAGAATCAGTACAATGCCATGGTTTCCGCCGCCATGTGCAGAGGGCTGCCCCTCCTTTCCTGACTATGTGTACCCTCCATATCCGGACATCACAGGTCCATTTTGCGGCCAGGGACGTTATTATAAATTCATCCTCCTACTGTGTTTCTCCTGGTCTTTATCCTGGCCTGCAACCAACATGGCCATTTGTGAGGAGTCTTTTGTAGGCATGATTTCCCCCATGTTATCACCTGTCTCATCCCCACAGTCGGTATCGGCGTATCCTTTTTTTTTTTTTTTTTGATCGCTGGCAGCGGCAGCCAATGGTTGTCCTGAAATGATAGGCCACCTTCCCTACCCTTACCCCACGTTAATTCCCCCAGCGCACTGCCTATCCCTACTATCTTACCTCAGTGTGACCAGCACTCAGGACCATCACCCTACCAATATCGAGGGCATCTTGGACCAGACAGCAGTGACAAGCACCAAGGCTGGGCAGCCCCCCAGCCCTAGTGGGTATCGGCGTATCCTTCGCGTTGGCGAGGAAAGAATGAGTCTGCATTTTTCCTTCCCTATGGTGTAATATCTAGTCTGCACTCCTTGCTTTCCCTTTGCCTTAAGTTGCTCCATCTTTCCAGTCTCTGTTTCTCCTCACTCTGTCTCCCTTAACTCTCTCTTTTACAGCATGCAAGTGTGCTATCATGGAAGACGGGGTTGTAGGAACATTGCACTGCACTATACCAACATGGCAAGCCTTGCCTGAGAGGCACAGTAAGGGGAGAGCTGAAAGAAGAAATAAAAGAGAGGATGTGAAATAAGCCAAAAGAAGGAAAGAAAAGTACTACTCAGAAATAGAATGGTTTAACTGCACCTCTGCACTTTTCTGCATTTATTTCGCAAAGTGTGTTCCTTCAGTTCATAAATATGTGCAGGGTTGCATACCCGCCAACTGCCTACCCCGACCACTGACCGTTTTGTAGCCTACCGGTAGGGCCTACCGGTTGGTCGTCTGCTGACCAGTCAGTAAACCGATACTAAACAGCCATCCACTGAGTTTTTTGTTAATCTGACTATGGGGCTGTAGCCGCTGTACTGTGCTTGCTGAGTACAGCCCATATCCACTGAGAAACTTCTGGGGATGGGGGAGGTACGGGGGGGGATCGGTTATGGGGGGGTATAGGGGTGGTAGAGGGGGTATTGGAGGGGGATTAGGGTGTTGGGGGACGGTTTGAGGGTGTTGGGGGGGATATGGGGTTGTTGGTGTGTTTATTGGGGGTTACGGACTCCCATAATTTATTTATTTATCTTTTTTTGTGGGGTGCCCCCGACTGCTGACCTGTAGGTGCTGACCAGCCGACTGGCCGGCTGGTTGGCAGCCAACCAATCAAGGGGCAGTCGTCAGCTGTGCAACTCTGAATATGTGACAATGTATTGTCCTTTTCTCCCTTTCTGCCTATGGTGCACTGGGAAGCTCTTTGTCAGAATATATTGTCACAAAGAGCTTCGCGGTGAACCGTGGGCAGAAAAAGAGAAGAGGCCAAGAAAGAGGGGGCTGTAACACTGTTTTGTTGAAGTTGCACCGACTTACGTGACAATATATAAATCCTGTGATTCATGAGCAGTTTTTCTTCTCCTCCTCCTCCTGCTTCTTTTCTGGAAGTAAAGCCTGAAGGTTTGTGTCTCTGGTTTCACTGGCAGGAAACCAAATCGACGAAGACGGTGGACGAGCATCAGAGTTTACGGCGGGGAGGTGGGGACTGTCACCGATGAGCATGAATTAGGTTGTTCCCCTTCCTGCACTTCTCCATCTCCCTCCTCCTCCTCCTCCCTCCGCACCACCATCACCTGTCATTCAATGTCATTGATCCCGAAGTTGTGTGTAGACGAAGGTCTCGTGGATCCAGTGGCTTTGAATTTGCAAAGTGCGAGCTGTGAGGACTGTGTCAATACCGCCTCCACCACCATCACTTCCTCCTCCACCTCCACCTCCATTTCCTCTTCCTCGTGCGCCTCTTCTTCTTCCCTGTCCTCCATCCAGCTCGCTTCATCAACGGTGCCCCTGCAGATCCTGCCACAAATTGCTGTTGTCTGTGACAAAATTGCAGACCGCGCAGCCGTAGTAGGGATAGAGGTTTGCAACAGTCCACCAATGGAGCAGGAGGTTCTTCCTGTTGCTGTGAGTGGCATCCAGGGTACCACAGACCCCACTAGTACGAGTGTTCAAAAGCGTGCTAGAGAGAAAGAGGGGGAAGAGGAATTGCAGATCCTGCCACAAATTGCTGTTGTTAGTGACAAAATTGCACACCGCACAGCCGTAGCGGGGATAGAGATTTGCGCCAGGCCACCGATGGAGCGGGAGGTTCTACCTGTCGCTGTGAGCAGCATCCAGCGTACCACAGACCCCACCAGTATGAGTGTTCAAAAGAGTGCCAGAGAGAAAGAGGAGGAAGAGGAGTTGGCGGGAATGCAGGAAGACCTGGCAAAAAGGAAGTTGAGTGGGTTTTCAATGCGACTGGCACAAGGAGATGAGCAACTATGGGTGAGATTTTTTTTATCCTGTCCCAACCCTCGCCCCCYCCYCCCCYCCTCCCCTCATCTCTTCCYCCCMYCCCCCCCCCCCCCCYCCYCCSCCCCTCTCTCTTTTGTTTTWWTTTAATTGATATGACCTCTTTTTTYTTKTTTYTTTTTTTTTTCTTTTAAGGGGTTATTTTTTGGTCTTGTTTTTCCTTTTTTTTTTTTTCTGGAAAGGTCTGTGAAGTCGGAATTTTATTCACTAAAATTTTGATTAAATTCAATTGTTATCGTTATTTTCTTCCCCAGAGTTGCACAATCCGAACACAGTTGTGATTGCTCTTTTCAATTGCCATCCCAAGTGAACACCACCACCACAGAAATGTAATGTGGTGCCAACTGTGATATGATTCCATCTGCAGGGATAGAGTGTTTCTGACTGTTGATCTGAGAAGTCAACGGTGTCAGCGGTCAGAAAGGCTCCATTACGACTACTGGAATTATGCCTCTTGGACCTGAGATCTTTTACTCAATAGAGAGCACGTCTTTTTTTTTTTTTCCTGATAATTGTTGATTTACTCCCAGGAAAAAACTAAAAATAATTTGATTGCTCACACTCGCCGACCTGACCTCAACAAATGGCCTTGTTATGGAAATCTGGAGTGAAGTCCCCCTTGCCTGGTTCCTTTGTCCCTGGCCATCAATCGGCATAATCTTCAGCCAGGACTGAAAAATCTCTCTTAAGTGGGACCTTGACGCTGATTCCATTCCAATGCCTACATTTGGACAACGCCAGCATGGCACACTCTGTGCTTTCATGTTCTTTTTCTAAGAGTGCTGTTTTTTTTTTCGTGCGTACTTTGGTCTATGGCCTTTGTGTTCGACTTGTGTCTTTCTCTCTCTCCATCTCCTTTCCATTCTTCGCATATTCTCTGTGCCTTCTCTTCTTTGACATCTCATGCCCATGCGGCTGCACAGTGTGTGTGCTGTCATTCCAGCGCGCAGTCCACCACTGCATTACAGTGCAGTGCGCACTGGCGCGTACTGCATTCCAGTGCGTGTGCTGTCATTCCAGCGCACAGTGCAGTGCGCACTGGCGCATGCTGCACTGTGGACTGGTGCGCTGTCAAATGTGATTCATTTTCATCCTGAAATTCCAAAAACAACGATATCCAAAAATAAAAACCAAAGATGCTGGGCAACTATGGATGCCAGCCAGTCCACTTCACGGAAAGGTACTCTCTCTTTCTCTCTCTCTCTCTCTCTCTCTCTCTCTCTCTCTCTCTCTCTCTCTCTCTCTCTCTCTCTCTCTCTTGCGCGCGCGCGCGCGCGCGTGCTCGCTCGCTCGTCCACTTGACATATCCGCACATAACTCCCTCAACCGCCCCTCTTGCACCGACTTCGCCGCACGAGCCATTGACTACCTCCTCAGCGTATACAACGTATCCCAAAATATCACAGCAGTGCTTCCACTTGGTCACGCAAGTGAATATGTGTTGAYGACTTCCACAACTGGACTTCTGTACCCGACATTTCGCTTCTGGACTTCTTCTACCGGTCATGGGTCGGTCTCTCTGCCGATGTTTGTCGCTTCTGAAAGTTCTTTGACTTTCCTGAGACTTCGCTGCTGACTGGAGCGACTGACACAAAAGGTCCTACAGACTTCTACAGACTGTTTCCGATGCCTACCGGTACCTACAGGAAGCTAGCTACCTACGACGTCCTACTCAACTGAGAAAACGGCATTCGTTGTTGTTGTACTGACACTGGCCCTGACTTGGGGCACAGGAATATGGTACACAGGACCAGGTCTGAAGCTGGGACTTGGAACTGGGGCTGGGACTGGTACGAGGGCGGACGACTGTGCAATCCTTTCATTGACTTGCATTCAATGGTGATTCTTGGATTGCACCAGGGTTGCACACCCCGACGGTCGGAGGCCCTTGACTGGTCGGCTGCCGACCCGCCGACCGATCGGCTGGTCGGCACCTAGCAGTCGGGGATCAGCGGCACCCCGCACTTTTTGTTTTTTTGTTTTTGGGATCCAGAACCCCTAATAACCCCACCCACACCCCCATAGCGGCCCCCAATACCCCCATACACCAACCTAACACTCCCGAACCGCCCCCAACATCCTTATTAAC